GTGGTTTTCCTGATAGTGTCTTTTCTTCTGTGCACATGTTTAATTTCTTTTTTTTTCCTTTCCGAAGTATTATGGTGGATAAAGGCATGTGGCAATGTCGATAAATGGGATTATTATATCTAAGGAAGATGTTGCATTACATTGCTTGCTTTGTTTCTTACAGGCTCTTAGGGCTGTTTCACACAATTACCCAAGTATTATGTGTTCCTGTTGGAAACAAATTTCCGCCATGGTTTATGGTCTTTTGAGGGCAGCTACTCCTGAAGTTCCTGCAGGGTCTTGGAAGGGGCATACCGGAAATTTTGTTGGATTTCTTGGGGAAAAAGTCATTACAGCTGCTATTAAAGTAAGTGTCTTTTAATATCTTTTGGTTTTCCTCCCTCAAAAAAGAAAAAAAAACGTAGTTTTCCTTGGGTGAATCTCTTTGTTTTACACTAGAAAATAAGACAAAATCTTGGAAGTATTTTAGGCCAGTGTAATGATTTTTCCCCTCTGCGGACATATGCGATGATCCTTTAATGTCAATTGTATCAGGTTTTGGACGAATGTCTACGTGCAATATCTGGATTTAAAGGAACTGAAGATCCTTTAGATGATAAATTACTTGATGCCCCATTTATTTCTGACTGTGTAAGGATGAAGAAAGTTTCATCGGCTCCTTTGTATGAACCAGAGAGCTCAGAAAATACTAGAGATGAACCCACATCAAGTCAATCCGGAAATGAACAGTGGTGTGAGGCAATTGAGAAGCATATGCCTTTGGTTCTACACCACACTTCTGCAATGGTTAGTTGATATAAACTATTGACCTTTGATCACATAACTTGTTTGAATAAATAAGAAAACCTTGTAAACAGTTGTCAAAGCCAGAGTTCTGGCAGATTACAAAACCTTGTCAAAGCATACAAATAGTTGTCAAGGAATTTGAGGGAAAAATAACTTTATATGAAGCACTGTAAAATAGTAAAAAGAGATGTATCTATTGCTAAAATGGTAGAAAAGAACATGTTCTTTTCATTTGGCGACTATCACCATTTGGCCCACGGGAGAATATGGTCATTTGATCATATGATTGAACTGCTGAAACCTCCAAATATAACTCCCTATTTGAGAGCAGGGTGGAGAGCATCCAAATCCTGCCCAAGTTGGGTAAATCCACCTAATGCAGAGGAGATATCTTTCTGTGTTTTTATCTCTCTGAACCGTTTCCTTTTTCTTGAAGGTGAGAGCTGCCTCGGTTACTTGTTTTGCTGGTATAACTTCTTCTGTCTTTTTCTCATTCTCTAAGGAAAAGCAAGACTTCATTCATTCTAATTTAGTAAGTTTTCTTGTTACTAATTGTTGGTGCTTTACTTTAACTGCTCTTCTCGGTAAATGGAACAGAAAGCTTTTTCTTATTAGCTATACCTACAAAATCTTTTTAGGTTCGTTCTGCTGTAAATGATGATGTGCCTTCAGTTAGGTCAGCTGCTTGTCGAGCCATTGGCGTCATTTCATGCTTTCCTCAAGTTTCTCAAAGGTGATTTTGGAATGTTTTTTAATGACATTGATTGATTTCTCAGAATTCGTTTTATCTGTTATTGATTTGATCCTTTATCAATTTTGTGCTTTGTTTTGTTCCTTGGACAGAAATTCACTAAGAACTTAATTATATAGTGCAGAGATCCTTGATAAGTTTATTCATGCTGTGGAGATTAACACTCGCGATCCCTTGGTCTCGGTATTTTCTTATTCCCTAATTTTATTTTCTATTTAATGAAGTGGGCGTTTCATTTCGTTTCTTAAGCAGTCAAACCTTTCCTTTAATTCTTATTTCAGGTGCGAATAACTGCTTCTTGGGCTGTGGCAAACATATGTGATTCTATTCGTCATTGTATTGATGATTTTGCCTTGAAACAGTCTGGAGGTCAGCTTAAATTTAGAAGAGTGATATATCAAATGCATTTGCACTGTATCATTGTCTTTTCAAACTATAATCTTCTCTCTCTTTTTTCCCTTTTTGTATAGGCTCTCCTGAAATCTCTAAATTATTCACATTATTAACTGAGTGTGCTTTGCGTCTGACTAAGGATGGAGACAAGGTAAATATTTTAATAAGCCAAGTCATTTGAAATCTTTTACTCAGTAATAGTTAAACAAGATGTTAATAAGCCAAGTCATTTGAAATCTTTTACTCTGTAATAGTTAAACAAGATGTTAATAAGCCATGTCATCAACATTGGTTGCGTGTAAAAAGTTAATAGATGGTAGATGATTATGGTTATTAAGGATTTATGCACAACTATTTTTTGCTTTATTCCAGTATTTGTAGTCAGTTGTATGTACATCTCTCACAGCTCTGAGTCTTTTCTTTTCCCTAATGTCAGATTAAATCAAATGCTGTAAGGGCTCTAGGGAATCTTTCAAGATCTATCAAATATACGAGTGATAGTGACAGGACAGTGGACAATAAGGGCTCATCTCTAAGGAGCACTAAACCTGAGGAATTGCCGTCAAGCAATTACAGGGCAGGAAGCCAACAAGATGTATCAATATCACACCATCCAGCTTCTTTGGGAGATTCACGTTGGCTTGAAAAGGTCGTTCAGGCATTTATTTCTTGTGTTACGACTGGTAATGTTAAGGTATCATATTCACAGTCCTAACTATTCCGAAATTCTTTTCTAATTTGAATGGAATGGTTGAGACTGCATCCTCGTTATTATATTTTGTTCTCTACTTTTTTTTACTGTGCATTTAACAGGTCCAATGGAATGTTTGTCACGCTTTGAGCAACCTGTTTCTGAATGAGACATTAAGACTGCAAGACACGGATTGGTACAGTGAGACAACCAGTTACAATGCCATTTGTTTGCTAATATAGTTCTGTGTGAGATCAATTTACATCCTAAAGTATGAAAGTGAGCTCTTAATTTAAAATGAAGAAAACTAAGTATGCATAGTTTTCTGACAGGGCTTCATCTGTATTTAGTATTCTACTACTACTATTACGTGATTCTTCGAACTTTAAGATCAGGATCCAAGCTGCTGCTGCTCTGGCGGTGCCAGCATCAGTACTTGGTAAGTAATAGGGTAACTTTATTATTCTACATCAGTTATCAGTCTCAACCAAAGTTCAATTTTTGACTATTATCGGTTGCATTGGTTGACTGCCATCTCATTGATACATTCTTGATCAAGATATCTTGCTTGTTTTGTTTTGTTTTGTGTGAGGGGTTTTTTTAATCATTCCTTCATAAAATCTAGAAATTGATCGTTTCCAAAAATAAATAATTATGGAAATTGAAATAGAAGGCTATTGGTTTGTGTTGCAGATTATGGGGAATCCTTCTCCGATGTCATCCAGGGTCTGGTGCATATATTAGAGAATCAAGGTTCAGACCATATTGCATCACCATCAAATTTCAAATATAGAGTTGCACTTGAAAAGCAGGTCAGTAATCTGAATCATTTGCACCTGAGCAGATATATGGGTTAATGTTGGTCAAAACCATTCATTTTGGTTACATGTGCGCGTGTGTGTGTGAGCCTGAGGTATATGATGTGTTTTAATAGTTTTTTCTTGTGCCTGGTTCAGTTGACCTCAACCATGCTGCATGTTCTTATCCTCGCTTCAAGCTCTGATCATGAACCCGTCAAAGATTTTCTTGTGAAAGTAAGTGTTTCTTATGAGTACATTAAATTAACCTGATCCATATAGTGTGTGTGGAAACTTAGGTATGAGTTTTTCTTTTGTCTGTTTCTCACTCATTTTTCTTTCTGCTGCATATAGAAAGCCTCATTCCTTGAAGATTGGTTCAAGGCACTGTGCTCGTCACTAGGAGAGACAAGTTGTCAAGCGGAAGTTGAAAACGATAAGTTCATTGAGAATCCGAAGAAAGAGATGATACGTAACGCAATTGGGTCGCTAATTCAATTGTACAATTGGAGGAAGCATCATGCAATTGCACAGAAATTTGACAAGTTAGTGAACAGCATCCAGTGAGTTCTCTCAGTTACGGGAAATGCTGCTCTTTGAAGACAAATATTTAATTGTGATATGAGATTGTAGGGAAGCACCGTCGGGCGGCTGTTAGACATACGAGGGGGCTCTTCAGGATCATATGCTAATTAGGTTGTAGCTCTCTCCTTTTCTTTTCTTTTCTTTTTTTCCTTATTTGGTGCCTTTTTCTTGGGTATGGGTAGGGTATGGATGGGGTTGGTTAAGATCCTAAATAGGTGAAATTTGTTGTATTGTTGTGCATATATAATATTATGGTTGTCCTTTATTTAATTTATGACCTTATTGTATGGTTTCTGTGGACTAAAATATAGAAGTTCCTTTCGGCTATAAATTCGCGAAGTTTAGAAGCCAGCCATTTCAGTGTTTCAGTGTCAACAAATGTGTAGTGCTTGGGTGACCTTCGGATGGTGATTTAATGAGTACTCATTCAACCCTATGGACCCCTTTCCCTGCGGATTCTTATATACGACAACAAAATCACAAGGGTGGTCCAGCTTTTGTGAGAGTGGTTTCGCATCCACTTGGTCCGGAATTCCGAATTCCTCCCGTATTTTTACCTACTTGGGTCCCATTCAATAAACTTACCTAACTGGGTCCCATTTAATAAACTTACCTAACTGGGTCCCATTCAATAAACTTAAAATAGAAATTGTTCGGAAATTTTTGGAAGTCACATAAATGATAATGAAGAACGGACTGTCCCTCTCTTTCCTTCTCCATCCCATGGATCAAATGTAGGAGTGATTGAAATCCTTCCACGATTACAGAAGCAACGCTGCAGAAAATGAAAGCTCAAATCAAAATCCCGATCAAATTTCCCCATCCAAATGTATCTGTCAACGGTAGAAGCTACTAATTTATAACTAATTATTTATTGATCCAGAGAAAGGTTTTGATCGAGAACAAGCATTTTACCAGTTAAACTTGGTGTGTGTGAAAAGTGAGGATAAATATGCTGCGTGTTTGGACTGGAGAAGTAGTGGAGGAAGGTCGGCGGATAAATTTTAGAATGAAGATAATTACTTCATAGATAAATTATAATAAAACTACCAGGTGATAATTATTGAGGGAAAAAGAAGTACCCAAAAGTCCCGTTTGCTTTTTTTGACCCACGAAATGAAAAAGGCGTCACGTAGCCAAAACTTTCAGTCACTTTTATGCCTCATCTTGATTCTTCTCGTTTTGATGGATGTACGTCGGCGTGGTTATCTAATACACTACTCTAAAATACAAATCATTATAATACGTGGATTAATAACGTTATGTGACGAAGTGATAATTCTTCGTATTTTCAGTTTCTTATTAGACGACCAACATGTAAGTGTTCTTCCACCTCCATTCGAGAATAAACAAGTGTCCTAATTAATGCAAAGGACAAAGAGAAGGTAGGAAACAAAATTATGATCATGTCATGACTTTTAAAAATGGGAAGAAAAGTCCAGTACTCCTCAAAGGCCCCCCTTTTATCTCAACTTTAAGATCATCATCACATCACTCTCTTCTCAATTCCAAATGTATGCATGCTTGCTCTCCTCCAAAACAAGACTGTTGCATGGCACAATTGCATAATTGCATGATTGAATTAGGTTTTTCCTATCATACAAGCGCATTAATATTTGAATCCCACGTCAGCATCTACGTGTGGGGTCAAAAGGCCGTACTGATAATAATGCAGCCAACATTATGGGACACAATTGACAAACATAAATATTTGCCACTCAAGGCATCACGTGATCTTCCTTTGCAATTTAGCTCCTCCCTTTGTCCCTCTCAACCCCTATTACGTTGGTCCATCCTTATCAATTTGCACGTACGTAAATATATTTTGGGGGTTATGTGTTTTGCACGTAAATCTTGTATTATGTGACAGCTTATTTATTTATTTTCTGATTAAATTCCTTTTTTATTTTTTGTAAGCGATATCGGCGAGAGAGATTTAATCACAGGACATCATATGTAGAAATAACTATTCTTAATCATCTGTTCTCAACAAGTAATGATGTGAGAGTTAATAATGCAAGTCTCCAGCATTGGGTAGAAGAAGATGCCCTCCAACGTATGACTCGTGATAAAACAGATGCTCAGGGAGTGGAACCAAAAAGAAAAAGAAAAAAAAAAGATTGTGGTTCTTGGGATGTCCATTTTATTATGTGAGATGAACAGGTTTGGATTGTTTAGCAATTTAATGCAGCCCAGATTGGATGCAGAAGACAGCTGTGGGTGCGTATTGCGGAGGGGGGAGGTGAACAGAAACCATAAAATAAATAAATATCAAACAGTGTTGCTACTTTTGCAGTGAAGCTTAATTAACTAACGGGACATTTTAGAAAAAGCAAAAAGAGAGAGAAAAATTTTAAAAGAAGCAAAAATGGACAAAAATGCCCTTATTTATTTTTAGATTTCCTAAGGAATCCAATACATTTGCATGTCTTTGATTTGAAAGTTGAGCGGTTTTTTTGTCTTTTTTGAAAAAGCTTTGGCTTTTTCCAAAAGTGAAATTTTTTTTATGTCTAAAACCTAAAAAACCTTTAACTATAACTATCAGTCTGTCAGTGGCTTTTAGCATTATTTTTGGATTATCAATTATTAATTGTAACCTAAAAATATGGTAACAGTTTATACATTAAATTAAATAAAAAGAAAACTAAAATTAATTTGTGTTTTTGCTTTTGAAAAGAAAAATTGGTGAGGAGCATTTTGAGGGTGGTCACTTGGTCAAAGTCTCTCTCTCCCTCTGTTTTGAGGAGCCGCAAATGTCGTATAGTGGACAATATCCACGCTCCTCCTTCTGCTCACTCTCAATAGCCTCCGATGAGTCTCTTAGCTCCTTCTCTGTCTATTTTTAGATAAAACAAATTACTCAAAGACCTGAATCAAACAAACAAACAAACACCCAATCACAACTACTCCCATCTCTCTCTCTCTCTCTCTCTCTCTCTCTCTGTGCTTCTTCTTTCACTTTTCCTCCATTTGAAAATAAACAAACGAAAGAGAGATTATTGCTTGAACAAAAATACTCACCAATCCCCACTTGCCCATTCCCTGTAATCGCGGAGACTTTTAAACTTTTCTTTCCTCATGTATCCTATTCTTATTATATAACCTTTTTGGCTCTTCCCTCTGCTTCTTCTTTTCAATTTTTAATATTTCCTCAATCGTGAATTAAAGAAATATGAAAACAAATACGACTTGAAAACACCCTTTTTAGTTTTTACTGTTCTGAGGTTGTATTTGAGGTAATACTGCACTGGGGGAGTCAGAAAGATAGAGGTAGAGATAGAGAGAGAGCCTTGGTTGAGATTTTCTTTTCAGGTAATAAAAAGCTATGTTCTTTTAGAAGCCTTTTCTTTCTGTAGAGAAATACAAGTTACCCATCTGCAGCTGCTGCTGCTGCTGAGTACACTAATCTACATGTTTCCAGTGGATTTCTCTGCGGATTTATTGGGTTTTGGGCTGTTTCTTTCTGTGTTTTTATGCCAATAACTTTGGGGGGCAAAAACAAGCAAAGAATAAAAAAAAAGGAAAAAGAAAGATTCAGACTTCAGTGGAGTTCTCTTTAAGTAGGGTGCTGAGTACCTTATTTTGTTTCTAGCTTCAACTTCTGTTGCTGGAAATAGGTACATTTCTGATTGCATATTCTTCTTTCTTCCTTTCATTTATTTGATTTTGTTGTTTTTGTTTTCGTTATGTACACCATTATGCTCTGATCTTGTAGCTTTGCCTTTCCAGTGTTTGGATCTTGGACTTGCTCTGTGAAATTTGCCTTTTACTTATTTCTTTCTGTTTTCACATAATATATTTAAGTTTTATTGAGGGGGGTTGAGGTGGGGTAATGATTATACGTGGGGTTTATGATTTATGAATAAAGATTGAATCTTTACATATTTGACTGATAGAGTGTGATCTTTGATGTTCGAATAAATTATGAAGTTTTAATTTATGTGGGTTGGGAACTTTTTCATTTTATTTTTAGATAGTTATGAGTGGGACCTGTGATTTGTGAACAAGACCTGAATTCTTGGCATTTTAATTGATGATCGATTGTGATCTGAATGCTTTCTTTGAATTGAAACTTTTGCAGAAAGAATAAAATGGCCAGGGACTATACTGGTGGATCGCCAAAGCACCACCACCTAGAATCCAAGAAGAAGAGGCTTACTTGGATTTTCGGGGTTAGCGCACTCTGCGTAGTATGCTACATGTTAGGAGCTTGGCAAACCACTTCTTCTCCTGTCAATCGATCTGAGCTCTACCAAAGGGTGGGTTGTGATGAAACGTCTCAAAATCAAGGAGGGAACAACGCTTCCTCCTCCTCTCCCTCAGCAGCATCAGCATCATCATCATCACTTCACTTGGACTTTGAAAGTCATCATCAAGTGGATATCAACAAATCCGACGCAGTCCAAAAATTCCCAGCATGCGACATGGCCTACAGTGAATACACTCCCTGCCAAGATCCGCAAAGGGGGAGGAAATTTGACAGAAAAATGTTGAAATACAGAGAGCGGCATTGCCCCACCAAGGAAGAACAATTGCTTTGCCTTATACCTGCTCCACCAAAGTATAAGACCCCTTTCAAGTGGCCTCAGAGCCGAGATTTTGCTTGGTATGACAACATCCCTCATAGAGAGCTCAGCATTGAGAAAGCTGTTCAGAATTGGATTCAAGTTGAGGGTGACAGGTTTAGATTCCCTGGTGGAGGCACCATGTTTCCACGGGGAGCTGGTGCATATATAGATGACATTGATGCTCTCATTCCTCTTAGTAAGGGCAACATCAGAACTGCAATTGATACAGGCTGTGGTGTAAGTATTATAGATTATGTCTCACTATTTTGAATTCCATATTTGAACATATAATTGAATCCACACACCTATGTATGGTGCCAGTAAATGCTAATACACTTTTCTGTTGGGGTATGAAGGTGGCAAGTTGGGGTGCTTACCTGTTGAGGAATGACATCTTGGCGATGTCTTTCGCGCCCAGAGATACACATGCAGCACAGGTCCAGTTTGCATTGGAGCGTGGAGTTCCGGCTATGATTGGTGTCTTGGCTTCGAAGAGGCTTCCCTACCCGGCGAGGGCTTTTGATATGGCTCACTGTTCCCGCTGCTTGATCCCTTGGCAGAATTATGGTAATGTGTCCATGTATCTCTGTTAGTTTGCTTCGACATGTTAGTGTCTCACATTAGTTGAGTTGAAGTGTTTTTGGGTTGAATACTTCACTATGGTATTAGGTGTGAGCAATGGTCGTACATTGGTTGGGATATTACTAAGTGATTAATAATTTAACCTAGATACATACCTATTCAACCAACTTTTGGGTTTGATTTGATATTATTGAGGCTGTGGCCAAGCGTCTGTGCCCAACAAAATGTACAAGTTGAAGCGTTCTTAGGGGGGTGTATTCAATTAGGATTCTAGAGTGTTTAAACAGATTTTAAAAATCTTGGTGTATTCAATTTGGATTTAAACATACTTTTTTAAAAAAATAATAATAAAAAAAAAGTAAAATTCACCATTAATTTCATATGATCTGGTTTTGAATACATGTGGATTTTCCTTTGCACTTTTGGCCAGATGGTTTGTATCTAATTGAAGTGGACAGAGTTCTAAGGCCTGGTGGTTATTGGATTCTTTCTGGGCCCCCTATTCACTGGAAAAAACACTGGAGGGGATGGGAGAGAACCCAAGAGGATTTGAAGCAAGAGCAAGATTCTATTGAGGCTGTTGCCAAGCGTCTGTGCTGGAAGAAAGTGATTGAGAAGAATGACCTTGCAGTCTGGCAAAAACCCATCAATCACATTGAATGCATTAAAAGCAGGAGGGTATATAAGACACCACATATATGCAAATCAGACAATCCAGATATGGCTTGGTACTCCCTGAGCTTCATTCATAATATCATTTATTTGATTTGAAACACAAGTTCTCCTGCTGTTAACTCTGTTTGTTGTGATATTTTTCGTGTTTAAAAGGGAGAAAGACATGGAAAATTGCATTACTCCTCTACCAGAGACAACCAATCCCGATGATGTTGCTGGTGGGGCTTTGGAGAAATGGCCTGACCGTGCATTTGCTGTCCCACCTAGAATTAGCAGTGGTTCAATACCAGGCGTCACCGCAGAGATACTCCGGGCGGATGATCAACTGTGGAAGGAAAGGGTGGAACATTACAAGCGGATTATACCAATCTCTAAAGGACGATATCGGAATGTAATGGACATGAATGCTTACCTTGGTGGATTTGCTGCAGCAATATCAAAATATCCTGTGTGGGTTATGAACACTATCCCTGCCAATTCAAACCAGGATACTCTTGGTGTGATTTATGAACGGGGCTTCATCGGTACATACCAGGATTGGTGTGAGGCATTCTCAACTTATCCTAGAACATATGATCTCATCCATGCTGGCGGTGTCTTCAGTATATATCAGGACAGGTAAATCTCATTCCATGATAATTTTCCTTTGGTATTTTAATTTGTGATTTGGAGACCTCATGTGCTTTGTATATTGTTGCAGGTGTGACATAACATACATTTTGCTGGAGATGGATAGAATTCTGAGACCAGAAGGAACAGTTGTATTTAGGGATACTGTAGAGCTCCTTGTGAAAATAAAGGGCATTACAGACGGCATGAAGTGGAAGAGCCAAATTATGGACCATGAAAGTGGACCCTTTAATCCAGAGAAAATTCTTGTTGCTGTCAAAACTTACTGGACTGGTGAAGCCAAAAAAGAAAGCTAGTAGTAGTGTATTCTTTTTCTCTTTGCTTGCAATTCTCTTTTTCTATTTTTCTTTTATCCGTTCTTCTCTTGGTGCATCGTCATGTTATGCTCTGGGATTTTGTAAAAGAATATATTTGCGTCTAAGTGGCAAATTGGATAGTTTTGCTCAGTGATATTGCTTCATTTAGATAGTGAACTGGAAAATCTCCTTTCATGATTGACTCCTTGCTGATAATAGGAATGGTTAGGAGAGTGCTGATGCTCTAATTTTGTTTGATGGATGGCAATATGTTACAAGAAGCATTGTTATGCACATGACGCAAATGTGATGCTGAATTTTGTAGGGGCTTTTTTCTTATGGCAGCTACAAATGGGCTGGGCTGCCGTAAAGAGCAAAATTGATGAAATTACTTCCTGTGTATGAGTTCAAAGATCATATCCAAAAAATGTTTCAAAAGGATAGTGAAGCTTTAGAAAACACTCTGGTCACCTTCACCAACAAAAACAATGGCTGCTTATAGATGAATTCTTGGTGCTTACAAGTAGAATCTTAACTTGGCATGAGAGGCTTGAGAGCTGTGAGTTTCTATGAAAAACAAAGGTTCTAAGGAAAAGGAGGAAATGATTATCAGAGGTTTTGGCTAAGAAGATGAGAGAGGCTAGGCAATGGGGTTCTGTCAAATATTATAACGATATGTCAAGAGGAAAAACAAGGGGGAGAAAGATGAACTGAGCACGAAATTGCTGAGTTTTGGAGGTAAGAGAGGAAGTTTGCTCTCTGGATGTGGTTATTCATTTGTTAGGAAGAAGATACCTTATTTATAGCCATTAGAAGCTATTCTTTTCCAAGAAACCCTAATGGTTTCTATCCAATTTGGCCAAGCTTTTCCCTTTCTTTCTTCTCCATTCCTTTGACTTATCTTATAATGGTAAAAATCCCCTCTGCCCAATCTCACAAAATCAAGGATTTTTGGGAGCTAATGCTCTTCCTGCAGCTACCTTAGTGGAGAACTCCTATTCTCAGCCATCCTTTTTCCTTTCTTTCCTTCCTTCTTTCGTGGCCAGATCTGATGAATGAAAGAAATGAGTATACATGCTGGTTCGAATGGTGCCCCTCTTCATGGCAGCCTGCATGCTAATCCCCTAGTCTTTTGAATGCCTTTGCTTGAAATTTGTCCCTCTCCCCCACCCCATATGCTGGAGCTTCCCAGCAGCCCTGCGTACGTGGACATCCTTGCTCCCTTTGTGGCTTTTGTTTATCAACCAAGTGTTGAGGCTTTTGCAAGTATTTATTTTAGTTACATGGGCTTTCTAGGACAATGGGTTGGTATATCAAATAAATGGGCTAACCTTACCAAGTGTTGCCCTATTTTGTTGAGGTGTTGGGCTAATTTGGTTAAGTTAATGAGCTATTTTGGCTGAGGTAGTGAATTATTTTCACATTTGTGCTCACCCACATGTTTAGGCCTAAGAAATGAGCTTGAGTTCCAAGGCTCCTAAGCAACCCGGAACCTCCATTTCTCAGCCCATCAATGGGCCTCATGACAACTTATTACCATTCTTACCACAATCCACTCAAGCAAGCCCCAGGCATTTTAGTGACTTGGGCCCACTTAGGCTTGTAGCGTAGTTAGGTGTGCAATAATGATTTCCTGCTTGGCATGGCATGTCGCTTGACATGCTTTTAATTATGATGTTTGACGGGATAACTAGCATGAATTTGCAGAGTTAATGCATTTTATAATCTTAATCTCGATTCCTAGTATGACGGATTTTTTTTTTTTTGGCACGTGGAGTATGACTCATGCATGGCGGACTTTTGCGTGCTCCAAATTGGGTTTTTTCTCAATGATGTGTCGTATTGGGCCGGGAATTTATTCGGGCCCAACCGTGGATTTTTTGGTTTTCAACAAATTTCACTCAAGAAATGTACGGATTTAGTTTTTGGCAAGGTATCTCAAGTGGTTGAGAGAAGTTACTTCACATATTTAATTCTTTCATCCCTCAATATCACTTGTATAGAAAAATAACAGTAAAAAACCGGTAAGCTAAGGGGTTAGCCCGTTAGGTAATCCATATTCTTGAAAAATTCATAGATCAAAGGTTGTGAAGATTGACTTTTGGTTCTTGGTTTGTTATCGAAAATATAATTATGATGGCCAAGTAGGTAGAATTGGGAGAGTTGGACAGGATAATTAGGTATAGTGAATAGTTGGGTAGTTGCTACAGCCGCAGTATTAACTTAATGGGACATATTAAGGAGGCTCTTAAGTAAAGCTGAAGTCGGCAATTAATGGCCCTATTCATTGTATATGTCCTTAATACCTGGATTAAGACTCTTATCCATAACCTCAAATTGTTGCTTAGGAGGCTAGAGGCCATCAGCAAAAGCCCCAAACAAACAAAGAGAAAAGAATCAAATTGAACAGAAATTCAAAAGTTTTTTACCCGGAAAAAAAGAAAAGAAAAAAAAGAACAGAAATTCAAAAGGGTGGTGGAGTGGAGGCCCAGGTTGTGAAAGGGCTTTGGTCAGCCTGATTTGTTTTGTTTTGGTCCTATTGGAACCACCGGGGAGGCCACTTGAATATGACAGTGACACTTCACGTCACTAGGATTAAAATTCCAGCAAGCTAGACCTAATACAAAAGGAGAAAGAAATCAAGCAAATAATCCAATCACAAAACGATGAGTATGAATCAAGCAAATAGGAGCGGAATAAAAAAAGAAAACGAAAACTGAAAACACTTCAAGTTATTTTTAAAATTAAGGATAATTTTGAAAACTATATATTTTTTATTTTATAAATAGAAACGAAATTTGTTACCAAATATGTTATCAATTTTCAGTTTTCAAAAAGAGTAAAAACGAAATGGTTATCAAACAGTCCCTAAAAAAGTCTTAAATTTGAAACTTTTATCAACATAAACCCACTCCGAATTATTTTACGAATGGTTACATATAAGTACATTCAGTTAGCAAGATAATAAGTAAGAACGTGAATTCACAATTTATTCCGTACTTTCGAGTTTTATCTTGAGACCTTTTACCAAAGAAAAATGTTTTTTTTTTTTTTTTGGGTCTCTCATTGCTTGAATAGGAGAGGAAGAAAGTGAAAATAAGAATAAGAACAATATGGTTAAGAAAAAGAATATAAAAGTAGGACCTTTGGGTGCAAAAACCAACTGGGCTATGCTACTAGTTGTTGGCTACCAGTCAGTTTGTCAGAGGGGGCTTGTCTTCGAGGGTTATGTATGCTTCCCAAAAACAAAAACCAAAACACAAAAAATATAAAGGCATTTTGGGTGGACCGTGGAAGCTAGAGCTTTGAATCCTCGAGATTGAAACAATCCAACCAAACAAATAAGCGAGCTTTGAGGGACGGAAGCAATCAAACAATCGATTGAGCAAAAGATAGGATGGGAGAAGCGAAGAGGAACTCTTCTTCTTCTTCTTCGAACAGTGACGAGGACATACAAGCACAAGTGGCCAAAGCGGTGGAGGATGTGAAAGAGCTTCAGGACTCAGCTGCTACCTTCATCTCCAGAACCTCCACTGATGAGCAAGCCCTTCGCCAGCGATCCCAATCTCTCGATTCCTCCATTCGCCGCCTAAGGTCCCAGCTTTATTCTCTGCTCTCCAGCAAGGCCTTGGATCCCAAGTTAGCAGAAAAGGCGAGTTCTTTCATCCCCTTTCTCGTTTTCATTTGCTCCTGCTGCTTGTGCATGTCTATGCATGCGAACCCAACATCAGAATTTGCTCAATTAGCTTCTTTCATGGATCCATTGATCACCCTTTTTGTAATTTATTTTCTGGGATTCTAATTACGCATGAAGTTGAAATTGGATTGAAATTGATTGGTGTTTTTGGTGAATATGTTAATGGCAGCTGGAAGAAGATTTGCAGAGGGCTACATGTGTGTTGGCGGATGGTGATGCCGCTTCATTTCTTCCTGGCAAAGCTCAGGGTACCATTTTTATTAATTACCTCGTTGATCATAAATTTTGAGATTTTTGCTTTAATTTTGTGTTGATTAAAAAGATTGGGGTCCGTTGGATGTATGTTAACGGGTTAACATTTATGCAGGAGGGAGGTTTCTGAGGATGTTTCTTGGTCCTATAACCGTGCGTTCCTCTAGCAAAGACATCCAACTCAAGGTTAAAGAGGAATACAATGCTTACAGAGTACGTATGTTCTTAATTGCTTTATGCTTTTACCCCATTTTTAATTTTTGCTTATGGTATAGATCCTTTTGGGTAAGCTTCACACTGAAGTTTTTGGAAACTGAAGGAATATGCTGACCTCAGATTAGAGGTACCAGTAATATACTTGACTTAAATATGTGAAGTACAGAATCAGCGTTTTCATGACACAACTGACGCCCAGAGGTTCAAACTTTCTCTTCTGCACAGACCAGCGATCTCTATGAATTTGGAATAAGTGGGATTTATTCCTTCTTTGAATTTGTTCTTTTCTTCTTTTTAGTCTCTCTTCTTACCAAGCTATCTTGAATTACGAAGGTAGGTGTAATTTTCCGATACAAAAATAAGGCCCTTGAGATTGAATTGACTAGTAATTCTTCTAGTTGATTGAGCAGATGCTTCCATCCCAGATAAAGTAGGTTCGCTTGTAAATTCTCATCTTTCGTGTTAGTGGGTCATGCTAGTCTTTGGGTCGAGGCATGACAACTCAACATATCCCCAACAGGAAGCATATCTCATAAATGTTTTCTTCCCCCCCTATTTTAATTATTCCGTTTGATTTGCGTTAAAATCTGATCCCTTCTAGTAGAATTTACCTATATAGTATGCCTTCCCTCATGCTGCTCGGTTACTTTTTGTTTCATATAGTTACCTTGTCCATCTTCTGTTACTACAAAGAATGTCAAGCAAAAATAGCTTGAGCAGCTTTACTTACAATGATATATTACTTTGGAGCAGGATAGAACTGCCCTGCTATTCCTTCTTTTTCCAGCAACACTACTTATTCTGAGATCTTGGCTTTGGGATGGATGCTTGCCAACATTCCCAGTTCAGGCTTACCAGGTACATGATAATCACTTGTCCCATCTGATTTGAAGAATGTACTTATATTTCTTTCTAAATGCGTGATTTCATAATAGATTTGACTTTTGAATTTTGCTTATTAGGCATGGCTGTTATTCCTTTACAC